GAACAAGGGAAGGTGAAGATGGAGGAAAGGGAGATTGTAGGTGTAAGAAAAAGTGATCGTGGGGGTTGAGTGTGGAGACGTGAGTGTGATGGAGACGGTTGAGTCTGGAATGTCAAGAGTTAGAAGATTTCGGAAGATATGTAGTAATGATGATGTTAACTCGTGTAGGTTAAACTAGGGTAAGTAAAGCTAGTTAAACTAGGGTTGGCGCACGAATTGATACCGCAGGAGAAAACAAATGGGCTCGCACGTTCCAGGCCCACTTTTGAATATTGCATGGGTCATGTACAAGCCCACGTTTGAATGTTATTTAAAAGCCTGCAAAAATCAATGATCAGACCCAGTCCAACTAGAATTACTCCTAAACGCACCGTTAATACATAAACACAAACTAAGGAGACCTCTCCATCCGATTCGAATCAAATTATGTGTTCTTCATCTTCTTCCTCAATCCTCTGGGCGAGACGAACACTACATATCAGGAAACCTAAATTTCACCGAGAGATATAAGGTTCGAGAAAATCACAATAACGCTAAGACAAGATGACAAAGCACTAGTGACATGAACCCTAGGGTTAGCAAACCTCTTTCAAGGGTTCTTTTGCAAATGAAAAGTTTGATGAACACAATAATAGACATGGTCGCCGTAATCGTGTTAGAAAGATATAGGCGAGGGGAAATACAATGGCGAAGAAGAAACAAGACAAATTTTTTTTGGGAAATTCAATCTACGTCGAATGTGGATGCAAGTAATTGGGATTCAAAAAGATGATTAAGTTGGGGAGTTCAAATTGGATGGGGAGCTTCTCTTGGAACTGTGAAGGGGCGTCCCTCCAAGACGAGAGAGGGATCGTGTAATTGGTTAGGGAGACTGGAAATTGGTTAGGGCGGCAGTGGGTCTACCCAATTGGGTTATATAATTTAATCGGGCCCGTTAGTTGGACTAGGATGAAAACAAACATAACGCGGCAGGAGGCTTTTTGTAATTTGTTTAGTTATTTAGCGGCGCAGTTAGGTTTAACAAACGTGAGCCGTGGAGATTGAAAATCAATGGTTAAGATCGGCCAAGGTACCCGTACCCGGAATTTGCCCTGGGCACCGTAGAAATCACCGTGTGTATATATATATATATATATAAGTTAACCCTACTATAATTTCCCTCACCTCTAACCGTGGCTAGCAAATTCTGTATATTTGGGTTTGGGTTCGCTAAGCACTTCAGAACCAGGCAACCGGTACTCACTCAATCTCATCCTCCAACTGGCTTTTAAATATGGGCGGGCCTAATTGCTCACTCCGGTCTCCAAATTGAGATCTTGACCTTTACTCCTATGACGTTACTCAAAATCATCACCATAACGATCCACATTGCCTATTTGCAAGTCCGGTTTCAGTGAATCCCATCAACACGTTCGTAATCCCTTTAACATAATAACTAGATTGTGGCCCCGGCCGGTTGGCCGGATAATTCTAATTTCTTGTTAATTGTATATATTCATCTCTTTATGAGGATATCAAACTTATACAATTTGGCAACTTAGTGAAAATATGAAGCTACAAAACTAAGTGTGAAATTATAATTTCAAGACAAAAGGTTAATTCCATGTGGCTAAATTTTATGAGAAAATAAATGAAACAATGTTGGATAAAGTTCAAGCTATGTTTGTTAGATTCCATAATAAAAATTAGGGTGTGCCTACGGTGACATGCATGTCACGGTGACTTGCACTTTCCGGTCGACCTCATTTAGAATTCGGTCGACCTCATATAGGATCCGGTCGACCTCATTTAGGATTCGGTCGACCTCATATAGGATCAGGTCGACCTAATCTGTTGTTTCAGTGTAAAAACAGTTCATGGTGCCTACTTTGGATATTCATATCATACAATTGGCTAGATGGAAATTGAAGACTAATGACTTGTTTTGAAGCTGGAGTGTCCCTCTACATATTGAAGTGATTGAGAGCTCGATAGGAAGTCCGGAAGACTATTTTTGAACCTCATCAAAAGGCTAGGCCAAAACTGGGAAACTGCCTGGAAATGGCCAAGTCTGGAAACGTGTTTGTGAAGCCTATTTTGGAGCTCAATTCGAGAAAGCATGAATGCGGGTCTAGTCTAGAAGCCTCTACCACATTAAATTATGTATGTTTTTATACAAATTCAAGGCATTGGATGAAAGATTGGATATCTGTAAGGCTTCAAACAAAAGGGTCGAAGTTGTTACGAAGACTGTTTTACTGGCTGACTTCGAGCACAAGCAAGCTGCCAGAAAAACAGCCTTCATAGCAACTTCGAGCCTTTTGTTTGAAGCCTTAAAGATATTCAATCTTTCATCCAATGCCTTGCCTTTGTATAAAAAAATAGGTAATTTAACGTGGTAGAGGCCCCTGGACTTTACTCGCATCCATGCTTCTCAAATTGAGCTCCAAAGTAGGCTTGACAAACACGTTGCCAGACTTAGCCATTTTCAGGCAGTTTCCCAGTTTTGGCATAGCCTTTTGGTCAGGTTCAAAAATGGTCTTCTGGACTTTCTATTGAGCTCCCAAGTACTTTAATGTGTAGAGGGACAATTCAGCTTCAAAACAAGCCTTTAATCTCCAATTTCCATCTAGCCAATTGTAAGATATGAATCTCCAAAGTAGGCACCATGAAACTGTTTTTACACTGAAACAACAGATTAGATCGACCTGATCCTATATGAGGTCGACCGAAAAGTGCATGTCACCATGACATGCATGTCACCGTAGCAAAGTCCTAAAAATTAATATTGTGCTAATGCTCTTTATGGTTAGCAACCTAACCTTCGGCTTCCATATCTGATAACAAAAAATTCGAATGTATGTTCCCTTAATCAATAATTCATTTTTATGTTTTCCACATACATATTTTTATTTTTTCAATAAATATCGTATATTATCATCTATAGAGAAACACAATATTTATTAGTCTCTTGAAAATCTATTTTTTATTGAAACCCATATCTTATTAATCTAACCTTAGTTTCTTAAGAAAAAAACGGATTGGATTCAATTATGCATATGATAAAACTGATGGTATAAGAGAAGATTATGGTAATTTCTAATTCTACGTGAAATCAGAATTTTTTGTTTGCGTCAATCTTTCATTGGTGTAGTTGCAAAGTAAATAAAAGAGGAACTAAAAAAATAAAAGGAAATAATCCTTTTATCGTCAGATGGCCTCCACTAATGATGTAAACCTAGCAACACCCCTACGTTAGGGTTCAAGTTAGGATAATCATGTGTTTGGGTTCAATTGTGATAATGCTCAACAAAAAGGAAGAAGAGAAAGAAAAAACACTAAAAAAGATGATACTCGGTCCCGAGACAAAAATCGTGGTAGCGGTCTTGGGAAACGGTGGTGAAAAACACTAAAGAGGATGAAACTCGGTCCTTATACGAAAATCATGGTAGCGGCCTTGGGAAACGGTGGTGGAGAACAAATTAGGATTCCGCCGACAGTATTTTGAGATGGGCTGCAAAAAGGCGATGATTTGTGTTTAAGTTAGGATATCTATGTGTTTGGGTTCAATTGTGATCATGCTCAACAAAAAGGAAAAAGAGAAAGAAAAAAAACACTAAAGAGGATGAAAATCGATCCTGATACAAAACTCGTGGTAGCGGCCTTGGGAAATGGTGATGGGGAATAACTTAGGATTCCACCGACAGTATTTAGAGATGGGGTGCAAAATGATGGCCAAAGGCAATGATTTGTGCAAAGCCATAGACGAAAACCTAGCGAACAATAACTAAACACAAAGGTTGTAGAATAGAGAGTACGATAAAAGAAGGTCCTGAAACTTCCCCATTTGCACTTGGAAAAGTGTGAGAGCCACTAATGAATAATAACTTCCATATTAGAATTTTATATATTAATTAATATATTAATATATCAATTTCAATATAGTTTGAGAAATCATACCGAATATTGCACGGGATAAATTAGTCAAATGACATGTAAATTGTAATTTAACAGGTAACATACCAATAACTTAAATCCGTCAGTTCAAGCCTTCCTACTATTCCTTGTTTTGTCATTCTAGTTCATTTGATTGGGCAGACAAAAAAAATCGCGTGTTGTTATAACGAAATTCACAACCACATACTTATTGATTTTGGTATGATATATTTCATTTCGTCTAATTATATTAACGTGGATGATTAATGTTTTAAAACCGTGATTCGGAGATGATATATATATGAAAACCAGACTCATCTTACCATCCCTACTCATGGAGAGGAAGAAGACTACCTTTTTTCTGTTTATACGTGATCTTGGATTAGTAAAGTAGATACTAGCTAGATAGTGTACGTAACTGAAGCGTGTCCTTAACTAAAAGAGGTTGCAAAGCTCACGTGTGATCTCGAGTTCCTGAAACACTACCCAATCACTAGGTCTTTCCTTACACTTCTAGCATTAATACTAATAAGTAAACTAACTTTCAGCAATTGCACAACCAAGCAACCATAACAGCGATTAGTGGGTAGTTAATTAATCATCCTCCAGCTCACAGTCACAGGCTGCTCTGTTGCTTCAAATAGTTGATTTTGTACTAGTTCTTTCATAGCATTTGCTATATAGCAAAACTGGAAATCGACAGTATATGAAAGTATAAAGATCACATAATTTTTACGTTATTTATAAATACGATATATGTAAGTTAATTCACAGACAGAAGATACCGGTTTCACGTCAAATCATAACAACAAATTTCATCCCTAAGCTCAAATAGCTATTGACCCTATTATAAATCCACAACCTTAAAACCTATATACACTCAACATAACACAATCTTTTTGAAAGTTTATTTTTCCACATAGAGGCAGCTGGTTCTGTTTCATTTCCAGCTGCTTCCCAAACCAATCTGTTGCAAGGCTGGCCATGGAGTCCGCTTCAAGTCATCACTAGTATATAAATGCCCTCCTCTCATATTGCTACCGCCGTCGCTTCAAGCTACAGAGGTTACGAAGAGTTGAATCAATATGGCAGCTTGGACAGTCGTGATTCTGTTGGTCTCTCTGTTTGTTCTTGTGGGTTCTGCATTTTCTGCTGCAAACTTGAACGAAGAGATCGACCTCACCTGGGGCGGCGACCGTGGCCGGATTTTGGACGGCGGCCGCTCGCTCTCCCTCACCCTCGATAAAGACTCTGGCTCTGGGTTCCAGTCGAAGCGAGGTTTCCTCTTCGGGAGGATCGACATGGAGATCAAGCTCGTCTCCGGCAACTCTGCTGGCACCGTCACGGCTTACTATGTAAGTCTATTTTGAATGTCCATATTGCTGCGTTAGACATATTGTAGGTACGCTTCAGATAGGGATGTCAATGAATCGGGTCGGGCGGATGGTGACTTATATGTGTGACTTTCTTTTTTCTAACTTGAGTTGCACGCGCAGCTGTCATCCGAAGGACCGTTCCACGCACATGATGAAATTGATTTCGAGTTCTTAGGGAATCTCAGTGGCGAACCTTACACCCTTCATACCAATGTCTACGTTCAAGGCCAAGGGAGCAGAGAACAACAGTTCCGACTCTGGTTCGATCCTACCAAGGATTTCCACATGTACTCCATCGTTTGGAACCCTCATGGTATTATGTAAGTGCAACAAATGCATTCATTTTTTTCTCGTTAATTAAGCATATGTGTCATCATCCCGTTGATCTATTGAAGCCTTATCCGAACTCTAGGATAGTCTGTTTGACAGATTTTAGAAATGAGAGTTTTGAAAAACTTTAGATTTATGATGAATTTGTCGGCATTTATGAATTTTGAAAGAGTCTATTTTTTGCTTATTGAATTTGATTATGAATTTTCTCGATTACATCATGAATTTATGACCATGTCATGGATCCCATGAATTTGAAAATTCAAAGTCAAACAAAGACTTGGTACAAAATCCATGACGAAATGAATTAGAAACCCAAATCCATGACCTAAATCCATGAAACAAACCAACCATCTATTGGACGTAATGAATCTTCTACCATTGTTTGCAGATTCTTGGTGGACAACCATCCAATCCGCGTCTACGAGAACAAAGAGAGAATCGGGGTCCCTTTCCCCAAGACCCAGCCCATGAAGCTCTACTCCAGCCTCTGGAACGCCGACCAATGGGCCACAAGAGGTGGGCTGGTGAAGGCGGACTGGTCCAAGGCCCCTTTTACGGCCCATTACAGAAACTTCAACGCCAAGTCTTCTTGCTTTTCGACTGGGTCGGGGCAATGTGATCGTAAATCCACGGTGGCCGGTGGCGAATACGGTGACTGGAAGACTCAGAGGCTGGACGCCGGCGGTCGGAGATGGCTGCGGTGGGTGCAGAAGTATCATATGATCTACAACTATTGTGCCGATCGCAAGCGCTTCCGAAAGGGACGTCCACGCGAGTGCAGGCTATAAAACCAAGAGTAATTATATTCAAGTGTGATTTTAATTATCTCAAATAATTTCGTTAAAATAATACATTTTAATTTTTATATATTGTTTATTTTCTTCTCCTTTTTGGAATAGTACACTAAATAATTTCAGCTCTCGACTCTCAAATTCTGGCTCCGCATCTGTGTTCATTTGTTGTTCCTGTTAATTTAGATAAAATCGACTTCTCAAGTAGTATTGGTTACTGATTTTAGTATCTTTTAATATCTGACCTAAGATTGTTGAAGAGGGGTGTCGTCTAACGAAAGAGTATCGGTTATAATTATTAAAGTGGTATAGAAAATCTCATATTAATTTTTTTTACCATAAAAATATAGGTTCTTCAAAAAAAAAAAAGGAGGAAGTGGTGTCGGACAACACACCTTACCAACAAGTAGATCCGCCCCTCATAAACATGATAAACAACCATTGAAAAGCAACACATAATACCTATTATCTTATTGTTCTCTGAAAGTTTAATCAGTACTCTTCTGCGTTCTCAAATGAGGAAAATTTATTCTCCCACGTCCGTGGATTAGCTAATTTATATTGTGTTAATAAAATAGGCATTAGCCATACAATCCTTATCAAAAGCTGTTGTATTTCTTTTCCCTCCTTTTATCTCCCAATTCTCTCAAACTAAATATCTAAATTTTCGTGGAGATTCAAGCCAAATATAGTAGAAAAAGCAAACTAGAAAGAAGATACAACTGTCAACCAACGGTTGACCGTTTAACCCCCCACGTTAGATGGACAATTGAAAGAAATCTCCAATTCTTTTCACAAACCATCCTAATCCATTTCTCCCTCCGCTAATAGAAAAATTAAGGCCGACGTTAAAATTTCTCTCGATTCCACCCACCAGGACGAGGAAGGAAGAGCTAATAATTACGATTAACATTAATGGAAGAAATCGCCTGGATTAGGGAACGTTCCTCGCCCTATCCCCCGTTCCTAATTATCCTAATCACAATTATTAGCTCCCTGTTGGCCGGCGCCGGCGCCAATTTCCACCGGGATGTGGACATCACGTGGGGACACGACCACGCCAACATCTCCGACGACGGCAGGCTCCTGACCTTAACCCTCGACCGCCTCTCCGGCGCCGGATTCCAATCCAAGAAGGCCTACCTCTTCGGCAAGTTCGACGTCGAGATGAAGCTTCCCCCCGGGAATTCCGCCGGAATCGTCACCACCTTCTACGTAAGTTTTTTCATCTTGTAACAATGATATTAACAATACGCTGCATTCCATTGGTCAAATACTCAAATTAACTCATCAAAATGTCTGGCATCTCGGGAAGTTGACGACGGCGGAAAAACACGAGGAGATCGATCTTGAGTTCTTGGGGAATCTGACCGACGATCCTTATACGTTACATACGAATGTTTACACCCACGAGGTGGGACACAGGGAGCAGGAATTCAGCCTCTGGTTCGACCCTAGAACGGAGTTCCACAAATACACCATTCTTTGGAATCCTCTCACCATCATGTAAGATCCTAATTAACCATTTATATCTAGGTTTAATTTGGTGGTAACTTAAACAGCAACAACACTTAATTCATGCACTTTTTTATTTAAGGTTTATTCACGTAAATTATACTTATTATTCACGCTAATATTGAGGTTAATTCACGTAATAGTTGTGGTCATTCACACGAACAATAATGATCGTTCACACAGCAACCTGGTGGTTATCCATTCATGTTGCTGTTCACGAGGCTGCAAAATCGATTTTATAAAATTTTGAAACATAACAAAATTGGATGTCATTGCGTAGATTATGATCAACGCAATTCATTTTTACAGAAAATCCAAACTTTTGGGTTACTTACGTTTACGTGAATGATCCTAGCTATAATGTAAATGAGCACCCAGTTTACGTGAATAATCAAACGATCATAAAACTGTACCAGCAGTTGAACTAGAAAAGTCACAAACAAAGTATTTTATGTCGAAAATTGCGATTTTACCGTTAAAACTAGGGCTGGCTATTTGGTCCGGGTTTTTTGGTTTTACCCGAAACCGGACTGTATAACCCGGACCGGGACCGGATAGCAAACAATCCAATCCAATCTTTGGCCTTAGATTTGAGGTAAAAATCGTTCAGGACCGGATCAAAAACTGGATAAAGACCGGATAAGAGAGCTCAACACCCAAAACTTAAGGGTAATTTGTATAAACGGTCACAAACTTTTGCACTTAGTACAAAACATAACCAACTCCTCACCCTTTCAGGCCTTAGGCCACTCAAATCCCCACAAGTTTAATATAAAATCAAGATCGAATTGGGACCGGACTGGGTCAAGACCAGACCGGATCAAGATCGGACTGTATCCAATCCAATCTTTGATCCTTATATTATCAAAAAGACCGGACTGAACCGTATTAATTTGAGCCAATTTAACCGGACCAGATCGTATAGCCACCCCTAATTAAAACCACCTACCGATATATACTCCGTTAGTAAGTTTTTCAGGTCGGAAAGTCGGCACCATACGGTGTTACAAACATTAATTAATCACCAAATAATGTGTACGAACTAAAAAAAACTCCACCAAATTTAACCTTTTCCTTATGGTGTTTGGCAGTGTGTTTGTGGACGACGTCCCCGTCCGAGTGTTCAACAACAGGGAAGCCGTGGGGGTTCCGTACCCGAACACTGAGCCGATGAGGATCAAGGCCAGCATCTGGAACGGCGAGAAGTGGGCGACACGTGGCGGCCTGGTGAAGACCGACTGGAACGCGGCGCCCTTCACGGCCTCCTACAGGAACCTCAGGATCCACACCATGGCGGACTCCGTCGGCCGGCGGCGGCAGCGGTGGCCGATGACGCAGGGGCTGGACAAGAGCGGCAAGAAGCTGCTGCGGTGGGTGCGGCGGACACACATGCTCTACAACTACTGCCACGACCCCAGGCGCCACCCGCGCGAGTGCCGCCACTTCGTCGACGTCTGAGAGCGCTATATATATAAAAGTGTACAATTAATATATGTCACGGTTTCACAAAATGCTATATAATGTTATAATACGAGTTCAAGACGGAGGAGGACTCTAGCTGTCATATATTCGATGCCTTCTTCACTTTCGCAAATATGAATTGCAATTTTAGGTCAACGAGACAAAGACTTGGAACTCGAGAATTGTAGCAAATTATACTTTGCACTCTCTTTCGTCTTAATATTGTTATGTTTTACTAAAACTTGTTATTTCGCTCAAAACTCCTACCTAGCTAGCGCCTTCTTTGATAGAAAGTATGTTGATGTGACTTGAATCGGACTATCAGTCGCTACGACTGGTAGTAGGGGGTCTCGCTGTTATTTGAGTTCGGGTTCTGGGCCTGGTCTGTAACCGTTTTCTTTGCCAGATTGGATTAGGTTTAGACCTCCATGAAGAAGTACTATAAATACTTCTCATACTCCTCTGTAATCTCCTCGATATAGTGAAACTGGCTCTCTCTCGCCCGTGGACTAGCTAACACACATCGTGTTAGTGAACCACGCAAATCGTGTGTTTGTGTTTTTCGATTCTCGCTTTCGTATTCTTGCTTTATCGATTTCGGCGATCTCACGATCCGTAGCAACGCGTTTATAACAAGTGGTATCAGAGCCGCGGCGGGAAATCAGGCAAGGGTTTTTTATTCAGAAGAATGACGTCGGTGAACATGAAGATCGAAAAGTTCACGGGGAAGAACAGCTTCGCTATATGGCAGATCAAGATGCAGGCTTTATTAAAACAGCAAGGGCTGTGGGGGCCGCTGTCTGTGAAACTGAAGAGGCAGCGGTCGATGATGATGAGTGGAATACCCTGGAGGAGAAGGCCCACTCGGCCATCATGCTATCATTGTCTGATGACGTCATCATTGAAGTCGCTGCTGAGAAGACTGATACGGGCTTGTGGTTGAAACTAGAGAGTCTGTACATGACTAAGTCTCTAACCAACAAGCTGCATCTCAAGCAACGGTTATTCAGCTTGAGGATGCAAGAAGGTACGCCTTTGAGGGAACATCTCGAACAACTTAACTCTATTTTGCTGGATCTGCGTAATATAGATGTTCAAGTTGATGACAAGGATGCTGCCCTAATCCAGCTGGTGTCTTTGCCGAGTTCATATGAGAATTTCGTTGATTCTTTTATTGCCGGTTAAGAAAGCGTGTCGTTGGAGGATGTCAGGTCTGCTCTTCATACGAGAGAGATCAGACATAAGGCGTCCGGATCTGGTACAGGTGGTGAGGCATCAGGTTTGGTTGTTACAGGTGGAAAGGGAAAGAAGAAATCTGGTAAAGGGAATTCGAACAAGAATTCCAAGGGTCCCGGTCCACAGTCAGGTGATGCTTGTCACAACTGTAAGGAAGTGGGGCATTGGAAGTACAACTGTCCCAAGAGAAGAGGGCAACAGAAGAAACAAGGTTCAGTTGCCGTGGCAGAGGTGGACAATAGTTCTGAAGACGATCTCGCCTTGGCTGTAGATGAGAAGGCACATCGTGGGGATGTGTGGTTTCTGGATACTGTAGCCTCATACCATATGTCTCCGAACAGGGATTGCTTCACAACCTACGAGCAGATAGATGGTGGTAACGTGGTCATGGCAAATGGAGCTGTCTGCAAGGTTGTTGGAATCAGGTCCATAAAGTTTCGGGCACATGATGGTTCATTCTGTACCGTAAATGATGTCAGGCATGTTCCACGAATGACAAAAAACCTGATCTCCTTGAGTCTACTCGACAGCAAGGGTTTCGGCTTCAAAGGAAAAGGTGGAGCTGTGTATGTCTGCAAAGGTTCAAGGAAGGTGTTGAAGGGCGTGAAGCGTGGGACCTTGTATGCATTACAAGGTTCAGTGTTGTCTGGTTCTGCTGCAGTTGCATCGTCTCAGGTTCATGCAAGTTCTATCGAAGAGGGATCTTCTTTGCGGGCACAAGGTGCAGAATTTTGAATTCTGTGAGCATTGTGTGTTCGGGAAGCTACATCGCAGCAAGTTTCCCAAGAAGGGTATCCACCGGACGAAAGGGATACTAGATTACCTCCACTCCGACTGTTGGGGTCCTTCACGAGTTGAATCGATTGGAGGCACCAGGTATTTTCTGTCTATTATTGATGATTATTCGAGATTTACTTGGATTTTCATGATGAAGCAGAAAAGTGAGGCTTTCACGAAGTTCAAGCAGTGGAAGACATTGGTGGAGAATCAGACCGGGAAGAAGATCAAGAAGCTGCGAACGGACAATGGTCTGAAGTACTGTAATTCTGAGTTCAACGAATTCTGCAAAGATGAAGGGATTGCCCGTCATCGGACTGTGAGAGATACACCCCAGCAGAATGGCGTTGCAGAAAGGATGAACCAGACATTGTTGGAGAGAGCATGGTGCATGCTCTCTAATGCTGGACTAGAGAGAAGATTTTGGGCAGAAGCAGTAAACATGGCGTGCTTCCTGATCAACCGTGGACCTCACACAGGTATCGAGTGTAAGACTCCTTATGAAGTGTGGTATGGTAAGCCTGCTGATTACTCTTCACTGAAAGTTTTTGGGTGTCCTATTTATTATCACATGGATGAGGGTAAACTGAAACCAAGGGCAAAGAAAGGTGTATTTGTGGGTTACAGAGATGGAGTTAAGGGATTTCGAGTCTGGTCACCTTCTGAGCATCGAGTTATACTTAGTAGAAATGTGATATTTGATGAGAAGTCTATGTTTAACCCCATGTTGAAGGTTACTGTTGTTGAAGGTAGCAGGAATGTTGATAAGCCGGTGGAGCTGCAAACTCTCAATGAGAGTGAGTTTGAGCACCAAGGTGGAGAATATCAACATGAGGATGTTTCTACAGAGCCAGAAACTTCAAGGTCCAGTTCAGGAGCTCAACAGTCTATAGCTTCCGGTAGACCGAAGAGAGCGACTGCAAGAGTACCTCCACAGAGGTATGGCTTCGAGGACATGGTGGCGTATTCATTTAAGGTAGCTGAAGAAGTGGATGCAGGTGAACCACAGTCCTATAGAGAAGCCGTTTCGGGTGGCGAAGCTGATCAGTGGCTTGCCGCAATGGGAGATGAGATGGAATCCCATGACAGGAATCAGACTTGGGAGCTAGTCAAACGACCACATGGAAGGAAGATTGTGACAAACAAGTGGATCTACAAGAAGAAGGAAGGAATCAGTTCTGAAGAGGGCATTAAATTTAAAGTTCAGGTGGTTGCACGAGGCTTCTCGCAAAGGGAAGGAGTTGACTACAATGAGATTTTCTCACCAGTGGTCAGACATACTTCGATCAAGGTGCTACTAGCTATAGTGGCACATTATGACTTGGAGCTCGAGCAGCTAGACGTGAAGACAGCTTTCCTAGATGGAGAGTTGGAGGAAGAAATTTACATGACTCAACCAGAAGGATTCCAGGTTCCAGGAAAAGAAGACCATGTTTGTAAGCTGAAGAAGTCCTTGTATGGACTTAAGCAATCTCCGAGGCAGTGGTACAAGAGATTTGACAATTACATGCTTGAGCTGGCTTACAGCAGAAGTCCATATGATTGTTGTGTGTATCACAACAAGGTGGAGGATGGTTCGATGATCTATCTTGTTCTGTATGTGGATGATATGCTCATAGCTGCGAGATCGAAGTCTGATATCCAGAAGTTAAAGGGGCTTCTACGTGCTGAGTTTGAGATGAAGGATTTGGGAGCTGCTCAGAAGATCTTGGGTATGGAGATTTACAGGGACAGGTCGAAGAAGAAGCTTTTCTTGTCACAGAAGAGCTACATCCAGAAGATACTGACGAGGTTTGGCATGTCTTCAGCAAAGCCCTTAAATACTCCTAGTGCTTCAAATGTTCATCTATCCTCAGCTTATGCACCACAATCAGAGGCTGAGAAGGAGTACATGTCGAGAGTCCCATGTGCTAGTGTAGTAGGTAGCTTGATGTACGCTATGGTATGCACTAGACCTGATCTTGCACATGCTGTTAGTGTTGTCAGCAGGTTCATGATACAACCTGGGAAGGAGCATTGGCAGGCTGTGAAGAGGATCTTCCGGTACCTTAAGGATACACCTGATGTGGGGATTAGCTTCGAAAGTGATACAGAGTGCTTGGTGTCTGGGTATTCTGACTTGGTTTATGCTGGAGATGTTGACACGAGGCGATCGATGACCGGTTATGTATTCGCTCTTGGGAGTTCTGTAGTGAGCTGGAAGGCAACTCTGCAGTTGGCGGTGACATTGTCTACTACTAAGGCAGAGTATATGGCGTTGACAGAAGCTGCTAAGGAGGGAATATGGTTGAAGGGACTGGTTGGTGATCTGGGTCTACATCATGATCAGGCAGTGGTGTATTGCAACTGTTTGAGTGCAATATGTTTGGCAAAGGATCAAATCCACCATGAGAGGACTAAGCACATTGATGTGAGATATCATTTCTTGAGGACAGAGAAGAGGATTAAGGTGAAGAAGGTTGGCACCGCGGATAATCCTGCTGATATGTTCACGAAGCCGGTTCCACATGGCAAGTTCCAACACTGATTGGACTTGCTGAATGTTTTGAGTGGGTGACTCCGCCCTACGAGGCATTGATGGCAGGAGAGAGAGAGAAGGAGCAGAGTACATCAGAGATTTCAGAGGAAGAGGATTCAAGTCAAGGTGGAGATTTGTTGATGTGACTTGAATCGGACTATCAACCGCTACGACTGGTAGTCGGGGGTCCATGGGCAACGCCCCCGGCCCGCGGTGTATGGGCTCAATGTTATTTTAGCTCAGGTTCTGGGCCTGGTCTGTAACCGTTTCCTTTGCCATATTGGATTTGGTTTAGACCCACATGGAGAAGTACTATAAATACTTCTCATACTCCTTTGTAATCTGTAATCTCCTCGATATAGTGAAACTGACTCTCTCTCACCCGTGGACTAGCTAACACACATCGTGTTAGTGAACCACGTAAATCGTGTGTCTGTGTTTTTCGATTCTCGCTTTCGTATTCTTGCTTTATCGATTTCGGCGATCTCCCGATCCGTAGCAGCGCGTTTATAACAAAGTAGAAACACGTTTTCTAAGGAAAACGAGTTTC